GTCTGGTACCATCCACGGCACCAAAAGCCATGCTGCAAGATGCCTTTGTCAGCCCTTGGGAAAATTGGTTTCTCATAGGGAAATTTACAACCCAGTGGTGTTTGCTTAAACCCGGAACTTGATTCCACACCTGGCGAAGCCTGATTCTTTCCTCGAATCCCCGAAACATGTGTTTGGCCAAACCACCCGTTGTGCCAACTCGGGGGAAAGAAAAGAAAAATAAAAACAATACGTTGTCCCATTCTACTTGGGTGTTCAAACCACTTAGTAAGGGCCCAACCGCGGTTCCTACCGGGGACTAACCCCAGCTACCACTGTAATAAGTTATAACCATGATTTGTTCGCCTACATACCTTACATTGGTTGACCCAGACAAAAACCCAGGAAGGGGACTAACCAACCAACCAACCAACCAACCAACCAACCAACCAACCAACCAACCAACCAACCAACCAACCAACCAACCAACCAACCAACCAACCAACCAACCAACCAACCAACCAACCAACCAACCAACCAACCAACCAACCAACCAACCAACCAACCAACCAACCAACCAACCAACCAACCAACCAACCAACCAACCAACCAACCAACCAACCAACCAACCAACCAACCAACCAACCAACCAACCAACCAACCAACCAACCAACCAACCAACCAACCAACCAACCAACCAACCAACCAACCAACCAACCAACCAACCAACCAACCAACCAACCAACCAACCAACCAACCAACCAACCAACCAACCAACCAACCAACCAACCAACCAACCAGTTACCCCAGGTACCCCAGGTGCCATGGTTGCAAACCTGACCCTGGTTGAACACCGGGAAGCCGGTTCCAGGGCACGCCATAAGCTGCGAAGCGGAGAGCGCGGCTCCGCGGGCCACGATCTCGGGAGAACCGGGCTGGGAGTTCTCAAGGCGGAAAAATCCCCCTTGTTTGGTCCGGGAAGCCAGAAGCAAGCCCAACTTTTCGTTCGGGGCCCCCGATTTTGGGGAAGGAAACTAGAAGCAAGCCCAACTTTGTTGTTGGGGGCCCCCGTTTTTTGGGAAGGAAACAGAAAGAGGGTCTGAGAATGGCGTGGTCAGTACTCCCTGGTACCCCACGAAAGGAGCAGTGGGGGGGGGCTCTGGAGATTTCCCCTCGTGGCTTGAGAAACCGTCTTTTAGGAGCCCTTCCAAAATGGTGGGTGTCCTTCGGTTTTCCCCGGCAAAAAAAAAAACGAGGCTGCCGTCAAAAAAAAGTCCAGACCACCCACAGGTTGGATTGGCCAATTCAAAGTGAGTGAACTTTTGCTTAGCTGCCTCAAGAGGTCCCGCCCAAACTGAAGTCTGCAGCATGAGCTTCCTGCCGTTTCTCTCTAAGAAAGTGGGGGGGGTGCAAATGAACCCAGATTGGTGGTCGCCACAAACGAACCTCGCCAAAAATTAGCAGGGATGGATAAAACCCGATTTGAATACTTGGAGAAACCACTTAGCTGGCGCGAAGCGAATCTGTCCATCCACTGCATGTCCAACGCTTCCAGCAATATCTCGCGGACTGTCGGAACTAAGGATCCAAGCAAGCACCTTTTGGGGCGTATGTGAACCCAAAAAGGGTTGGTTTCCGGTGGCTTTTCCGTTGAAGCAACCGCGAAGTCGGGTTGGACCGCTCCCGCAAGGGTTGAGCCAACTTCTGGTTTAAACATGTTTAAATCCCCCAACAACTCAACCACCTCCCTTGGATTTCCCCTTTTCCAGCTTCGAGATCTGGTTCAAACCCATGTCCCCACCCTTTTGGACAACCCACCCTCCTCTTCTGACCAGAAAGCGACGCCCCTGCCGACGGCTGAGCCTCCCGGCCACGCCCGCGCCCCGCCACAAGCTCCGTAGGGAGCCGCCCAGGCCTCGTTGAGACCAACCCCCGGCCTCTTCTTGCAAAGGGCCGGACCCCATTTTGGATTGGGTTTAGGGTCCCTTTTGCGTTTGTTCTGGTGGGACCCCTTTCCGGTTGTTTTTTTGGCTGAGCCACCTACTTGGGTTGGAACGGAAACCAAAAAAGCATGTTGAGACCAAGCCCTTCTTGAATTTTAGGTTGGGCCCTATGTGGGGTTTTGGCTTGGGGTGCCCCCCCCCCACCATCGTGGAAGTGAACTGGCTTGCCCTGTCTGGGCTTGGGTTGAGGGTGGGTTTAGGGTGGAGGCCTTCGCTTCCCACGAAGTTCGTCTTCAAGGGTCTGCGGACATGTCGGGCAATCCCCAGACGGCGTGTGAGTCATAAAGAAGACCTGGTCCTAAAGGCTTCCACGTCAAGAGCCATTCAAACAATTCTAGGGACGAAATATTCGCAGATTGTGTTCTGATCACCACTTAGCGTGCTTTTTTGTCGAACCCCACCCATTCTAAGTATTCGCGTATGGCTCGTCCAAGTAGGGTGGAGGACCCGCCGTCCTTTCCCGAGCCGCCCGGTTTTGGTGGCGGCTGGGGTCCCAACTGCCGCAGGAGTGGGACGCCAGTGCCTGCTTCCCGATCAAAAAAAAATGGGGGACAACTGGGGCCCAGGTGCATCCGCAAAATAACCCGAATTGGGGAAGGTTGTTGTTTTTTCTTCCTTTTTTTCCTTTTTTTTAAGATATCCTAAAAGGAATATGTTAAGTAATTCTGAGAACCCGTGAAAATGCAACACTGTTTGCTTTCGGGGCCCAAAAGCAGGAAGAGGCCCTTCGCCACTTCACTCTCTCGGGACTGACCTGGTTGCCACTTGGAGCTAGGACGATGGCCGGAGGGTGGCAATCGGAGATGGAAACACCTCAAAAGCGAACTCGGGCGAATGCCAAGGGCCTCAGCGAGCTTTAGGCTCGCTTGCTGGGACTCATGAGGCCCAAAATCGGCAAGATAGGGCGCTGAAAAGCGCCAAAGAGTCACCCTCCCGGCAACATGGAAGTCTACTAAGTGCACGGCCCTCTGCAAAGCGACTTGTCTTTTACAAAAGGTTCCTGTGTCTCTTTCAAGTTGAGGTTGCCACTTGTGCTTTTGTTGAGAGTGCATTTGTTGGCTTGTTGAGGGCAACCGGAGGCAAACCCAAAACCCATTTTGAGGGATCCCTGAGACCAATCTGTCTTTGTTGGCTGCCCATAAAGAGGTCAAAAGGGGTCGAACAAGAAAGTTTGCTCCAAGGATCTTGGCATAGGGGTAGAAACTTGGAGGGACATGAGGGAACTCACTACGTTCCCCATGAAAACCAGAAAACTCGCCATGTCCTCAAGTTTTGGCCAAACAGCCGTCTGCTTTGCCAACCTCACGCTTGTTCGGTTCAAACGATGACAAAACTCCAAAGGTAAAGTTGGCAAACTCAAAGAAACCAGGAAACGCTACTGGAAATCCTTGTTTGTTGTTGGGTGTTTGGCAAGTGTCCTGCTGAAAGCGCTGTTGCCGGTTTCTATGATCAACAAATTTCCTTCACTTGGTCCTCCAGTGGAGAGCTCAGAATAAGTTGGTACCAACTTTTTTCTTTTGTCTATTTTAGTAGGGGAACCCTCCCAACCAAAACAGTTGGTAAAAGGGCACTAATGGGGGACTGAGTTCAGTTTTTGCAACGAACCCGCTCCTGCCAGGTGCTGCTGTACGTCGGTGCCAGCCCCACATGGAGGCCGCTCGCATACAGGCCATCCTCGGAGATGGGCGCTCGTCTCAAATTGTTTGACCCTCAAAATTGGTAGTGGTCCTTTTCGTTCCTTTTTAAAACCGCCCAACAAAGGGAACCTTTTAAAAAAGATGGCGATCAAAGAGACTGTAAGAAGCTGTACAGCTGGAAGTACAAAAACCTCCAAATTGTCGGGCAAGCCCCTCTGCCGACCACCTTTGTGGGGTTCCGGGCTGATTCTTCTCAGGAGGTATTCGTCATTTGCAGCAGCAAGGGGGATCCACAAGCAAACGGAAGGGTTCATCGGGGCACAATACGGATTGGGCATGGTTCACCACGTAGATTGAATATTCCGCATCATTTGGATCACTGGTTTGTTCAGACCTTCTCCATCATCGTCATCGTCATCGTCATCGTCATCGTCATCGTCACCGTCATCGTCATCGTCATCATCATCGTCATCATCATCATCATCATCATCATCATCATCATCATCATCATCACCAAAGTTATCATTGGCAGCAGCATTGGCAACAGCAATAGCAACAGCAACAGCATCAGCATCAGCATCATCATCATCATCATCATCATCATCATCATCATCATCATCATCATCATCATCATCAGCAGCAGCAGCAGCAGCAGTGGCAGTGTTGGAACCACACAACTCTCGTTTGATGAACTTGTTCTCAGCACCAACTTCCACCATGACAGATTGAGCCATAGGCAACCAAAGCCCGGTCAAAACAATGTGCCCACATGGGTTTAGGTCCTTTGCGCAGTACTCAAAACCCACTGACTTTGTCCCAGCGAGATGGTCACAACGCTTTTTATTGGGGGTGTCTTTTTGTGGGTACCTTCCTTTGCCTGCTTTACACCAACTTTGGGTGGTCAAAGAAAGAGACAGCCCCACAACAGACCTCCGGCAGTGGACACATCCATCCCATCCCTGCCGCATATGCACATCTATGTATTTAAGGACCTAGAATAACTGAATGTGTAACATTTAGCCCCCTAAGAATCCAAACAGGTTCCATCTTTATCTGCAGGAGAGTACTTGTGGGCGAGTCGCTTGTAGGGGTACCTGGGACTGACTTTCCCAACTCCCTGGATCCCGTGAGTGGCCCAGGGCCATTGCCAAACTGTTTCAGGGGAACTTCTTTCACCCCAACCAAAGTATTTGTCTTACTGGCAACCACTGGTTTTCTGGAGGGAACTGCCAACCACATGAGTCACTGTCACTATTGGTTGTGTCCCTGACGTTGGATTTTGGTACGGCTTCCCAACCCATTTCCTCATTTTACTTTGCGGCTCGTGTGTCCAACGTCATCCCCTTTGCTACAGCAAACGCTAGTATCCGTTGACATTGCTCACTCGGGGACGTCTTTCCCCCAAACCTGCTTTTGTGTGGCCCGTCTTGCCCGCAGAAAAACCGCAGACAAAACCTGCGGAGCAAAGGGGGGCCCCCCCTTTTCGACATGCTGGGCTCACGGCCAGGCCCAGCTTTCCCGCTTCCGCCTGCATCTGGGTCTTCACCTCGCCGGACAAAAACGGAATCGTTGAGGGGGCAGTCTGGAGTCACCGTGGGATACTTGCCACAAACAAATGTCAGTTTTTTGTATAGGAGTAAACTGAATGTGGATTCTGATCAAGGACGCTTTGGTGGACATCAGAATTTGGTGGGGATTTATGTGCACCGACCGTTTGGGAAGGTGTTCCGCACCTAAAAATCATAGCCATCAGAAATCATAGCCATCCAAGCCACCAGTTCCCCTTCCTACCCTCCCATTCACTATGGAACCAGCCGGGTAGGTTCTGAAAGACCGTTTGCTAAACGGACCCTCTAGTGGGGTCCATGTTAGTGAGACGAGTATACTGCGGTTCCCACCCTTTGAACACGAGAGGAAAATGGCGAAGCTGTCTCACTATCCAAAGGAACCCGAAAACCAATGTTCTGTCAGGTCATCTTCTGAATGACAGAGCACAGCCATGGGACCAATTTCTAGCACATTCACTGAGGCTCAATAGAAACACCCCGAAATGCACAGGTTTGGGCCCCTTTGTGCGGCCTTTGCACTCCATGCGTTTTTTAATGCTTGTGATATGGCTATGGCTATGAATTTCAACAGGGAACCGCCTCAAAAGTGATTGGTGCACGAATTCCCAAGTACGACGTCCACCAAAGGGTTCCACGTTGAGTTTGACAGAGCCCAGACGGCCTAAGGCTTCGGGTTCCCTGCGGCTTCCCCTCAAAACAATCCAGAAGGGCTATCAAAGTAAGGGACCACACCCATATGTCATCGGAACTGAACGGGCGGCCGAAATTTGCCCACCCCACATGACACCATGTAAGAATTGACTTGCTTGACTTGATTCGGGCTCCAAAGGGATGGATTCCTGAGATGGGAGAAAGGCCCTTTGGATGATGCTTCACAGGAACCATGTCTTATGCTCTCCCTATTTTGGAAAACACCCCGACTTTGTGGAGTATGTTAGTAGAATCTGCTATACAAATCCACACGTGTGACACGGACCTGAGAAAATGCCGAGTTCCATATTTGAAAAGCCAAACCTGAGAGTCATACCCCGCCAGGTCCACTGTTGCCCCCTGAGTGGTGGATTCCCGACCAGCAAACTGTGTGTTGATCGCCAAGCCAAACGTTCCAAGACCCATTGGATCCGAAACCCATGGTTGCCCTTCTCACCAAGGGAAAAGAGTGCCGAGCCGGAAAAAAAAAGAAAAACGAGGCTCGCCTAAGTAGCAGAGCCTCTACAAAAACGGCACACTCACACAGCTGCAATCACCGACCCCGTGCCTGAAGCAGTGGAGATGCGACCAGGTAGCCGGAACTCAGTCGAGGCGGATTATTTGCTGTGAATCACCAGTGCAAGCAGCTCATCTTGCTGCAAGCTTCAGGCATCTGAGTCGGAATCAAAACCTGGTATTGCACAACGTCTAGCTAAATCCATAGTAAAAGAATGTCCGCACCTACTCATGGTTGGGGCTGTCGCAGACAAAACTGAAGCTACCCAGGCTTTGATTGTGGCTCAACCCTTCCCCGTCAATCCAGAAAAGGGTCAATTTAATTTAGGGGATTCCTTTACAAATGAAGTTTGTTTGGTTCCATGTGGGAACATCTTAAAACTGGGAAACCCTTTGAAACACCTCGAGCATGGTTCTTTACTCCAGCAAAAATCACCCTCATCTCAATCAGAGGAGTAGAACGAGCTCCCGGCCAACCAGACAACAGGCCCGCGCAGAACATGCTGCTCGGGCCGGCCTGCCAGGCTGGACACATACCAGACCCCCAAAAGAAACAGTCACACACAGCTTGGTTGCTGTTGGCCCCCTGCAAAAAGTTTAACTTTTTAGGGGTTTAGTGGCAAACCCCTTCATGTCCCGAAAAGTCTAAAGATCCAAGTCAATAGCAGTCAAGCTTGCACAGCTGCCACGCAAATTGTGCGGGCAAGCGCGGCTTTCCTTCTTTGACAGCTGCCGGCCATCCCCCAAGACTTCAGAAAGTGATCTCAGGCTAGGCATCCAGAAATCTCCGCGTATGCTTGATGGTTGAGCGATTTGGCTGTGGGTCAAAAATGGGTGCCCGGCATGGAACCCTGGTAAATGGAAACATGGACTAAAAGCTGCGGCTTTGTTGGTGGTTTAATTTTGACCCATACCCATATGAGGAATTTGAAGGCTGATGACTTCGCATCAGCTCCAATCTCCAATGTTGTAGATCGAACATCAGGCCGTGACTGTCTGAAAAACAAAACAAAAAACTGTGCAGGGTCATATACACATGCTTCCTCCAAGCCACCATGCAGCATTCCAGTGGAACCCATGAAGTGTCAAAGCCCTTCTGCCAGCACTTCTCCCCTGTCGATTGCTTGGCCTTGTTAATCTCACGGGACAAGTATGCTTCTCTGCCGAGCATACCGTCCAATGATTGCCGAAAGCCACACGCTTGAATCTGGGACGCTGCGCTACAGAAAGCTCCACGGTACATGGTGACAGGCCCGCTCAAGTAGTTCGCTGCCGTTCGAGCAAAACCGCCACTGGTGATCGAACCTGCTGCCATGATAGGCCAGCCAACTGGACGCCATCGAAGCCTTGGCACATCTTTCCCTGGTGGTTTTTGCACCATCCCGTTACCTCGCTGCCATTCGAGCAGAACCGACACGTGTGAGCTTCACAGGACATGCTGCTATGATAGGCCAACTTGCCACAATGAAATCCTTGGCACTTCATGACTTTTGAGTCGTGGGAGATTTGCTTAGAGCAGCTACCTGCTTGCACACACGCCTTACTCTGGATTTGGGCCACTGCAAGCCGGGAAACCAGAAACACACACGCACACACTGTGGTACCAACAATAGCGGTTTGCACCCCCAAAGCATATGCTTCCTGCTTGTGGCTTCCGGAAAATAGAGCCAAACAAAGCTAAGGTGTTCCTGGAAACAAACCCGAACAAAATGGTTCCTCCTTTTAAGGCATGGCTTCTCTCAACAAGCTCAAGGCGACGTGCCTTGCCAGGCTCACCACCGGCGATTGTGTACAATTTGCCTCACGTGAGTTGCAAAAAGAGACGCGGCAACAAACATGCCAAGCTGATTGATTGCTGCACAAGGTCACACACTTGCGCACACACACACACACACATGCACGCACCTACAATTGCACACTCGCGCGCACACACACACACACACACTCGCAGAAACAAACACACACGCAGACACAAGGAGCGTTTGCGCCAGGTTGACGGTGGTTCGTCCTTTGCCGTCTCTTTAAACCAACCTAACCTGGGTACCCTCAAAAAGACGCAAACCCGGCACCCGCAGGTAGGTTTTTCTTCTTGCGCCCGGGAGGCCCCGCCGATGCCGTCGCGGAAGGTGGGGTACAGGCCATTTCTGCGGGGCAAAAAGCACATAGGCGTGCCTCACCAAGGAAGCCCGCTGCCTTTGGCTTCACAAACGACTTGTGGGAGAAACGAAACAGGACCCACAATAGAAACAAACGCAACGAGACGCAACCTTGGGAGAGTCCGACAAGAAAAGCTGCAGGTCAGCAATTGCCAATCAGTAGTTTTTCCCAGCACTGTCCACCTGCTGGAGTTTTGCCAAAGACCATATGGGAAATTAAATGTTTCCAGGTCGCAACCAGCTTGCCAGGTGTGAGGAAGGTAGGAACCTCCACATGATTCTAGTCACACTGGTGCGCTCTAAAGCTACTTGTCATTTTGGACACCCGCCAAGGGCGTGTGGTTTTGAGGGTAGCGTTTACAGGTTGGGCTCAAGGGAAACCAAACGGAAAATCAGCCCTGCCCCCCTAGTTTTAGGGCCCCAAAATCCTCACGAGCCATACTATGCTCACGACAGCCGGCCGCGGCCGAGCCCGGCCCTGTCGGGGAGCCTCATGCCCACGCACCACGCCATGGACATGACGTTGGCCAGGAAGCCGGGCCTTGGCTTGCTGGGCTGACCCCAAAACCGTATGTTTTGGATGGCTAAGCCCTACTCAGCTTCCCCTACTTTGAGACTCCAAATGTTTTTTCTGTCAAAATAGGGGGGCTGTACCAAAAATGTGACCAAGCGACCCCCCCTCAAGCAACATGTGGTTTTCCGCTTGGCTTCCCCGATCAAAAGGGCGGCCGCGCCTGCTAATCCTTGCTAGCTCTCGGGGAATCATCCGGGTCAGAAATGACAAAAGGAATGATCCCTGCACAGAAAGCCGCAAGGGATGGTAGAGGGCCATTCCCTCATTCTTGACTGACCATTCAGAAGAACCATCAAATTCAGGAAAGGCTAGCCCGCTGAATCACATAATTGGCAGGGCTAGTGTTGGGGAATTTTCGAAGCCCAGTTCCTCTTGAGAACTAAAGCGGTAAACCAAAAGCGCCAAACATGGAAGTGCCCCCCGTAAAAGACCAGTTCTTGGTGTGGAAAGGGTTCCTGTGCACTGTGCTCCATCATCGGCGCTTTGAAGGATTGGCAAACAAACTTCAGTTTCAAGGCGCGGTCCAGAGTCTACATATTGGCAAGAGGCTGCGAGTAATTCAATGAGCAAGCCCCGCTCGCAATGCTAAAGCCAATGTTGTTCAAAGACCTGCAAATGGCAATCTATTCTAATATTACAAGACCTGTTTCCTTCCTTTTGTGCACAAGAACCTGCAAATGTCGGTCATTCAAAAATCCAAAACAAGCATTGGATCCCAAAGTAAAGCAGCAAAATGGATATTTGCTCGTGCAGATCGGTGGAATCGCCGATCCGATCTGAAAAGGCGGATCGGTATTCCTTTCCGGGCTTCACTTGGTTCTTCAATTCAGATCAGGGCAATCCTTTTTGCCACCCTTTCTTGCAACCAGGATGACTACAGAGAAAACACAATGTGACTAACATTTCACAAACAAGTACATAAATACGATTTTGTCACGTCCAGATTGGCACACCGCAAGGAAATCGGACATCTACGCGACTCTTACGTTGGACGTCCAACCAAGTCTCAAAGCTCAACACCCCTCCCCCCCGGCACCGGCGGAGACCCGCCTCCAGAGCCCAGCGGAGATGCCCTCCTACCAAGCAGGAACCCCCTGCTAAAAGGTTCGGTTTGTGTTTTTTCCAAAAAAACTGGAATGGGAAGACCCCTGCACAAGCACAAGCAAGTGGACGGAATTGTTTGGCAACAGTGTCTTGGTTCATGGTTGCTTCATGTGCTTGGGTTATGTCTTTGGTTTCTGCATCCCCTCTTGCCAAACCCAGAATGGATGTATGGATGGATGGACGGACGGACGGACGGACGGACGGACGGAAGGAAGGAAGGAAGGAAGGATGGATGGATGGATGGATGGATGGATGGATGGATGGATGGATGGATGGATGGATGGCTGGATGCTAGTCTTCCAGCCACTTCCATGATTGGACGGAGGGGAAAAAAGAAAACTGTCGAAGCATTTCTCAAAACACAAGCGATTGGAGAGACACAAAGGAAAGCTGCAGAAGAAAAGCCATGAAATGGCGCCAACACCGACCAGCGCCAGAGAGCCGTCCCACGCTCTGATCCCTCTTCAATCAATGAAGTGCCTCCCAATGCGCAATGCAGGTTCTGGGGGCTCGAGAAAGGGGAAGGGCATCTGCCCTATTCCTCTAATGCCTTTCTCCTGTGCTCAGCTTTGGGGCTTGCACCTACGCATTCAAGCGAAACTGCGGCGCGCTAGCTTCAGCACGTCACTTCTCTGCGCAAAGCAAGGCTGGAATGAAAGACTGTGATCTTTGCCAATGCTATGCCTGTTGGGCCTGCCTTTCGGAAACTCCTGCACTGCAGACTCGGGCAAAGGGAAATATGCCAGGCCTCTCTCAAGAGCGCTCGGGCGAAGTCCGTCAAGTGCCTCATGATGCGAGGCACTCAGCACTATTTTAAGACCTTTTGGTTCATCAAAGTTCGACCCCCAAGGGCTGCTTGTGCGATCCTTGGAGTCGTGGGCAAAAGCAGTTGGAGTGTGCTGGAGAATGATGAGCGTCCTTTTGCTTTCCTTGGAGCCAACCAGGGAGTTTCCCAAGGAGCCTTTTCAGCTCACAATATTTGACTCGCCCCCCAAAGAACGTTGGCCACAAAAAAGCTCCAAAACCGTTCCAACAACTGCAAAGATCGTTTTTGGACAAGCGAGAGCGATTCATTTGATCTTGGCAAATTGCTATAATTCACCAACTGATGGGTGAATAAATGGATCCGTATGAAAGAAACCTGCATCATAAGGTGACGTTGCAACCCCGGAATTTGCCCAAATAATGATTGAGGGGGACCTTTTGAGTTGGGAAACAATGGACGAGGCAGGCGATTGGCGTTGATGTGTGGGATGTCAAGATCAAAAAGAAGTCTACCCAAATCCCATGGTAAAGAATCAACAGGCCGGTTTTTGCCGCACCTATGAACGGGCCCCAAAGAAGCCTTCGTCAGGTTGTGAGGTGACGCGTCTGCACATTGGATCTTATGGAGATATAAAGAAATATAACGGTACACGAACAAACAAACAAAAAAACAGAACTTCAAAGGGCCACCTCTGAGGTTCCTGTTCACAGCACTACAAAACAAGCCTCGACAACTGCCATGCAATTTCCAGCCCCTAAAATACCTCTCGGCATGGATAATTTGGACTCTCAGCTTCGTTGAATGGCAGCTCTGTGGTGTTTTTTCTTCCGGTCCCGCAGATGCTTGTGCTTTTTGTGACCACTTTCGTCTAGACAACATGTTGGATGCCGAGTTCCAAATCCACAGGATTCAGCATCAAAAACAACCCCTGGGTCAACACCCAGGATTTGCGCGGAAAGCCTTACAAATGACGAATGCTCTCCTTTTAGGGGGGCAAGGGTTCCCTGGCATCACAGGGTCATCTCAACTTCGGAATCCGGAGGACCCTACAGGAAACCCATCAAATAGACCAGCTCGCCAAAGGGACCACCCCGTACGTTGCGGATCAATCCGCTTGGTGGCGAGTATCCCCGCTTTATTAAGTCCTCTAGGGCCAACCCCACTCTCGGATATTAACCATTATGGAATCCCTAAAAGGGTAGGTACAAGAAAAGCGGGTAGCTGGGAGCCCAATGGTTCCCTAGGACTCCTTGGGCTTCCTTAGGGAACTCCCCCCCTTGGACCAGTGTCATCCTCTGTGCTGAGGCCAATGGCTGCCCCTGCCAGGGCTTTCCAGCCTCAGGAGCCACGGAATCCAGGGATTTCTGGGGGAAAAAAAAGTCTGACGGCTTTGTGCAAGTGAACTCAAGCCCTTTTGGTCAAAACACGTTCTTTTGGGGGTTTAGCTGAGCCACAGAATCAAAACGACGAAAGTTTCCCAGGACAACATGGAAAACATGGGGCTCGCCCGCTCGTTTGCGGTTGAAATTTAGTTTTTCAGCATACCCGATACCGAAGCATGGCTGTGGGAAATGGTTGGTTTTAGGTGAGCCACCAAGGATTCGAATCCTCTTCAAAGTGACAAGGTAGTCATAGGGACGGCACATGTTGGCATCACGGAGAGGACGCTTTTCGCAGCCCAGAGGAAAAGTAAGACGTCTTGGAAGGCGACGTGCTGCCACCTTGAAGAGCTACAAACAAGTACAAGCTTTTGACAGCTTGACATCTGTGCCCTGTCTAGAAATCCATGCCAATGGCGGCCGAAATCCCCATAGATGACAGGCCCTAGTTATTCTAAGAAAACAAGTGCTTTCACCATGCCACATGTGACCCTGTCCAAGAGCGGGGCACCCTTGCTGGTGGAGTTTGTCTTTGTGTCCCTTCCAAGCTGGCCAAAGGCTTCCTGTTTGGGAAACACTCATGTGAGCCACCGTATGTGCGCCAAAGAAACGTTACTGGACATCGCCATGATATTTTGTAGTTGATATTTTATTGGAGTGGCTGGTCTGTCTTGTAATCAAGAACCTCTATTTGACCAGGGAAACTTCGACAAACTCACATGCGGAGGTGTCATCACTTGGGAACTGACATCAACTGACAAATCTGCGCATGGTTGGGGCAAGCAGCTAAGAGATCCGAAACCCAAAAGTCTCCCCAAGTGGACCCTCCTGAATGGCACGGGTTTCCATCTCAGTTGTTTGCCCTCTACAACCCAAACCACCTGTCCAAACTTTCGGGACCTTGTGTTGAGGATCGATCTCTCCGTTGGGGATCCTTTCATTGTACCCCACCCCTGCACGCATGATAACCGAAAAAACACACCATTCCGAACCATTTCGGACCTCGGAGCTTGGACTCCAGCTACCTGCCACCGGCACTTCAGGGTGTCCATGGGATGGCTCAAGGAGCTGGTGATCATGCCTCGTCGGCCATCGAGTCGGATCGCTGGGGCTTCCCATTGGAGACATGGGATGCCATGTAACCATGCATGCGCCAGTTCAAAACCTAAAACAAGAATTGGATGGAGTAGAGGACCTAGTGTTTTTCAATGGACCAACATGAGCTTGCAATAAAGTCATGGATCGGGAATGCCCAGTTGTGGCAGCCAAATCTGGCTCTTTGGAGGAGGTTCAAAGGGGCAGGGAAGGAAGGGCGCCAAAGGTAAGGCCCATGCGCTCCGCCACTAAACCTAAAATTTATGCAGTCAATCCAAAGCCAGGCGTTGGACGAATCCAAAGGGCAGAAAGCCCCACGTATTCGTGGTTGAGACTGTCTGGGCGTGATTGTGATCAGCACTAATCAGCATTCTGAAGGAGTGCGGTGCGTTCTGAGTCATCAACAGTACAAAACCTAAGCAAATTTGGCACATCCATTTGGGTACTGGGAGATTGCTGGTGAGTGGGCACAAGACAACTCAACTCAAGCGGATGTGGCCTCCTGCACACATGACCAGACAGCGCGACTCCGCCAAAATCCTCACCGCAGAAGGGATCCCTGAGCCCCCCACCCCGGGCCCTCCGTTTTGTGAGACAATGAAAAAATGCAAGACATGTTGCGTCTGCCCCCGAATTGCGTTTTCACAGGAACTTTAAAGCAAACAAAGCCAGCTCAGAGCTTGCAAAAGCCTGTGTCCATGTTCCAAGTGGGTCAGTGCTTTGCAAATTAACTTCGGGAAAACTAACCTGCAAGACAGCGCGAGGCGAGGGATTCTTCTTTGCCACTCGTTCAAAGACTAGCGCCATGCACCCCCTAAGGTGCATTTCTGAGGTTGGTAGTCCCCCTTAAGGGGCCCCAATGGGCAACGTGAGATTTCAGCACACGGCTTTTCCGTACCTTGAAACAGGTCGTCTTGCCACGCGCTAACAAAAACAAACTTTACATCTCCCCTCCTAAGAATTCTGCTTGGCCACTTGGTGGCAGCCCTCTCTGTTGCCGCAATCACACCTGTGTGGCGCAACTCCCTTTATCTAGGGCACTCCCAATCAAGCCTTTGCAAGGACACATCATCTGCAGCCCCAAGATCCAACAGCTGAAAGTGCGGGCGCAGGCCCAAAGAAAAGGTCTAAGCCCTCAATCCTCATCGTGGGTCTGTGTGGCTCAGAAATAGCGACGAAAAGGCTTCGCTTCACCCACGCCATATTCAGCAGCTGCAAGCTTTTACCCCGCGAGTTGCGCGAGCTTTCCTGGCCATGAACCCCGCCGCCGCTCCTGTCTGTTACCATATGGCGACCGGGACAGCTGTGGCTATGACAGCCCAAAGCCTGAGGCTCCCAGCGGGTGATCGACCCCTTTCTTGGTGAGAAACTATGGTAAGGGGACATTGCCCCAGCCACCAACGTCATGGTCATGGTTATAACTTGGCTATCCGAGGTTGGACAAACATCCAAGCACCAGATGTTCATGTCAGCCCTATCTAGACAAGCCGGCTGCGCAAAGCTGCAAACCTGCAATCACTCTGGCGAGCTCACTAGCCCAAGGAATAAGATCCCTGGTCTTTGCAATTCGGGGCTTCAGAATTTGGAGCCATTCGTGGTACCCCTTGAGGGGCTTCACAGTTGTCCTGGTGCGGCCATTGGCAAAGGCCTCACGCTTTGGACTGTCACGGCTGTCAGTTCCTGTCTGTCACATCTGTCTGTCATAGTCAGAGGCTCACTGTCGCAGCTGCCTACTAATCCAACTCCCAAACCTGTCGGGTGGGGGGCAAGAATGGGTGTATATATATATATAGACATGTTCTCGTCTGTCCGTGTGAATCAATCCGCGCAGCCCCCAGTTGCTTTGGACTCAGCTTGCGGCCAGTCAGGGAGCTCGCAGTCAGGTTTGCCAGCAGCTCGCGGCCTTTCACCGGCCTCGCGCTTCAATGAGGTTACCCCCCCCCCCCCCCCCCGTTTTTTGGGGGATGCAAAGGGAAACCGACAGGAAAACCAGTTTGTTCTTCTTCTTCTTCTTCTCCTCCTCCTCCTCCTCCTCCTTCTTCTTCTTGTTGTTTTTTTGGGGTCCTCCAAAAAAAACTACACCCCCAACTGGGTGTCTCAAATTTTGGGACCCTTCAAATGGTCAATGTCCTGCTGGTTTCTTGGAAGAAGGGATCGGGATAAGTCATGCGTGGGAGAAAATGGAACTGTCCCCGGTGACTAGAACCGCCCTTTCAAAACCAAAAGGAGAATGTCTGGTTGCCTACGATAGTGGTAACTTAAAATCCACAGGCGGTTTTGGCTCCTAAATTTGGGATCTGTAGAATATGCGTCTTTAGTTGACATTAAAGAAAAAGAGTAGAATTCAGTGAATAGTTTTAGTACTTCTGGCCCAGGAACCCCTCCAAAAACCGCCCCAGAAACTGCCAAAGCCACGGCAAGGCTTGCAGATGACAACACATATCAGCTCCCTCTACTTGGTGTAGTTTAGTGGCTTCGAGATTTGGGTAAGGGCTATCGCTGACGGGGGAAAAATTGCGCCGAATCAACAAGCCTCGAGAATGTGCCAATTTGAGAGCAGAGCGTTTTGAGCCCCGACTTTTGGCTCACGCCTACTCCCCAGCATTTTTCGACACAGAACCCAAAAGGGGGTGTCTACCACAAGGAGTTTCCTCCACGAACAAATGGGCTACTTAGGCTAGGTAGGCTACTTAGGCTACTTAGGCTGGGGTTGGTGCAAAACATTGCCTTTGTAGCCCTTCCTGTCACCAGGTTTTGGGTCACCTTAAAAACAAAAAATCTAAAAGGAAACCACGCATTTGGGGGCTGCCCCATTTGGAGAAGTCACCCTTTTGGCCAAAGGAACGCGCCTTCCACGCCCCCTGCTCGCCATCGCTGCGGGCATCGAATTAAAAGTGAATTCAGTTTGCCCTTGAATTTTTTTGTGGATGTGTCCTCTTTTTGCGGGGTCTCTGGTTGCGCTTCCATCATCGCTTCACTTTGTTCATTTCGATTCCGATGAAACAGCAAGCTTGGGAACTGTGCAAGCATTTTCAAGTGACCGGTGGAGACCATGGATACAGGCTAGAGCAACCCATCTGGGTATCAAGCAGCGATTTGCTTTCTGTAACTTTGGAGGACACCATCTATATACTGGCAAGTTTTTGTCTCCACCACCAGCTGAGTCGGGTAAAGATGGCCCCTCCCCAGGGCATTTAATTTGCGGCCATCTTTGTCTTTAGACAAAATGGCTGCAGGCGATGGCTGCAGCTTCGTGCTAGCTGACTTTGGGATCCGCTTCGTTTTTTCCAACCCCAAAAAACCGTTTTGTTGGCCTCCCGTTCAAGTTGTGGTTTATGGGCCAATAAAACAAGCTCGAGATCAGAAACAAAACGAGACGCGTCTGGGACCCTGATTTGCTTCTGGACAGCTACGTGGGTGACGTGGGCATGTCTTCAAAAAAAAGACTGGGCCTCGCCGGTGGGGTCCGGTCGCCTTGCAGTTCCGTTGAGAACATGAGAAGAAACATGAATTCGCTCATCCAATGAGTTTCTCGCACATATGCATCACCCTCACACATAGTGATGGAAACAAAACGTGCGCGAGACGCCTTCAAAGGGCCAGACCTGGACGAAAGTCAGACCTGAGCCTGCAGATTGAAAGTAGATGGCACAATCAACCCCCCCCCCCCGTGTTTGTTTGATCATCCACTTCGCTTGCCCAGATTCAGGGATTTTGCTGTCTGCTTTGACCCTGGAGCAATACTGGCACAAAAGCACCTGCCCCTCAGCTATCAACCCCAGCTTTGGCGAGGGGATTATTGATCGGGCAAACCTTGTGATCAAGAGAAGGAGCTGGAGTGGGAGACACCCCTGATGCGCCGGGTTCTACTCAATTCCCACAATCCTTATGTATGCTTCGAAATCCTGAAGCCTTGGACATCCTTGCAGCCAACGAATGCCAACAATGACGAGATCTGGTCTCCACACATGAAACGCATGAAACCCCCATCGACGTGAAACGGGGAGCTCATTTTGCATCAGCCCAAGCGGAGTACGTCCGGCTGATCGATCTCCAGGCTTCGAGTTCCGGTCTGCCCGGAAGTCGCTTTCGACCTCGCGCCCGCGCAACAAGTTCACGCACAAAACGTCGTGGCTTTCTTTTTTATTTCAGCTGCGTCCACAAGGAACTTAAACTCCGCCTTGAAACACCCCTACCAAAAGGGAATGAAGTTAAGATGAACCCAAAGGATGTCGAAAACCGCCAGGGAAATTGGGGGAGAGTACGTTAGAGCCACATTTAGATCGGAGTATAGGAGCATATTGCTGGTAATTGTCTTGCCCCTGGTGTTACACAAACGATTCTTGGTTTGCTTGAAAGGGACTCCCCAAAGGATGTGGTTTAAGAACCAGCGCTAGAAGAAAAAACATGGGGTGACTCCGACGGGTGCAAGTGGGTTCTAAAATGCAAACCACACATGACCGCTGAAGCATGGCTACCCAGGAGGTCGCTCCAAACCCCGCGCTATCGGTGCAAAAGCAAGGTGTTGCCCAAAATAGGACCCTCCTTCCCTGGATGGCTCTGCGGGCAAAGGGGTCGCTACAAAACTTGTTTAATGTTGATCGGTGTCTTTTATTCCGAATCTAGGACCAATGAGTCAGGAAACAAAAAAAGAACCGAGCACGCAAAAAGGGGGCCCAAGTACACTAGGAAACTGGCTTGGGAAAATCTAGGAGCCTTTCATGAAGACACCCCAGAGGTCATCCGTAGATTACCCCAAATCAAAAGGTTGATTTACTGATGGGTGTCAATGAACTGCCACTTGTTCTTTGGGTCCGAAAAGTCGCAATAAAAGTGTGCGTCGCATCTTTCGCCCCTTTCTGTATCCATTCCAAGCTGGACCCGCAAAGGCCGCCTTTTTTTTTTGACCCTGCGCCACAGGAAAGCAAGACAAAAGGGCAAACCAAAGGGGTCTGGTCTAGGAGCCCAGGAAACCAAACAAAAACTATCCGGTTTGGTTTAAAATCGGGCGCGGATTTATTTCGGTGTTTTGTTTCTTTCTGTTGTTGTTGTTGTTGTTGTTGTTGTTGTTGTTGTTGTTGTCGTTTCTAACGAAAAACAAATCCCCCTCCTTGAAAATCTGCGACTCGCCCCTTGGGAGGGCCCCTTCTGAGGCTGCTGCACCGAGCCGTACTTCTCATAAATCTCCCGCATGCGGCGCTTGTGCTCCTGGCTCCGTCGACGGCAAGTGCCGCGAAACCAAGTGGACACCGACTGGGCAAATTTCCTGGAACACACCTGCCAAGCCGAAGACTAAAGTTGACCAAAAGGTTTACTTGGGTGTGGGGTGGGGGTGTAAGAGTAGCTTATTTTGGATATGCGACAAAATGAGAGCACCGAAAAATTGTGGTTTTCCGTGTGGGGTCCCTTTAAACCCCTTGCAAAAAGGGTACCGCCATTTGAAAACCCTCTGGCTTCAGGGTTTTGCGGAAAAAAGAAAAACACACACACACACACACACATGCCATCTCGCCTCCTCCTCCTCTCGCGTTCGCGTGCTTCTGATCTCGGTCTCGGGCCCCTTGGTGCTGGAGGATCTAGATGCTCCTGGACGGTGTTGGGAACTCTTTTGCAGAACCTGGAACCCCACAAGCCATTACTTTTGGAGGAGTCTCCTGTTGGGGGACCTGCCCCCCCCCCTCCGGCCCGATCAAAAATCAACCAGAGGTATCTGAATCGGAACTGCAAACAACCCATTGGGAGGTGTTCGGATGTCTCATGATGTCAGCTGCAAAGCCATGAGTCAGGGTCCGTGCCTTAGCGCCCCTCCCACCATGGAACACAGATTTGTTCTTCCAACAAACTATGTTCCATGGCAACGTGGGGAGGCCAAAGGGAACCGTTGCTCGGAGAGCCCGCCATTTGAGATGCTCAAAACGTAAACCGAACTATCGGGAATAAACAGAAAGGGAAACCAAAACGAAACAAAACTATTGAACGTCAACACGAAGTCGCAAGAAACTACCAATTTGTATTTCTATTTCCTTGTTTTTCAACAAGCCCATTTTGAGACGGATCCCCGGATTCGCCCGTCGCGCCTCCGTGATGTTGGGGGCCCAACATGGACACTCTCACTTCAGCCCTCAGCGCGGAGAGGAAGCTGAGCTTGTGTTTGTTTGAGGCTCAATACCCTTGTCAGGTTGGTTTAAAGGCTAGGTCCTCCAGTAGAGAGGTTAGAATAAGGGTACCCTTTTTCTGTAGTCTATTTTAGTAGGGGAGCCCTACCCCAAAAAAGGGTAAAAGGGCACTACTGGGGGACCTGGAAGGGAAACCAAAAGAAATACCACAATTTTGGGGTCATACCCATCCGAGCCGCAAAAAATGAGCTCAAAGGCCCGATGGATCCAAGCAACGATAGGCAAACAGCAATGCGCCTTGAGTTTCAAGGGCAGTTCGGTTGCCTACTACTGGGAAGATGGTGTCCACTACTTCCAGACCACGACCCCCAAGGCGGGTATAAACTCTTTATATAGCACCTGTGTTTGTCCCCCTTTGCTCTTGGTGGTAGTTTCGGCTTGGTACAAACTTCTTCTATGCCGCTCTCTTTAAGCGCCGTGCCCGCTGCCCCGCCACATCTCTCCCTCCACGGTGGTGGGTCTCTTGGAGTAGACCTTGCCTACGCCCACCACCGCCTCACGCGCGCGGTCATGCGTGTCGCGGTGTCGCGGCTTCGCTTCACCCGAAGCGCCCTGCCGAAGAACTCCAAGGAAAGGGGATCAAGATCAGGGTCAACGAGCACCGAATGAAGGACTCCGTCGGTTCATCCGTTGGCCTCTTCAGCCAGGTTTGGGATTTGACTGAGCCCAGAAGCTGCCTTCCAAAGACTTTACCCTAGAAACACTCTTTTTTGGGATAAAACAGGCGATCCGGTGCCGCGATCCAATCGAACGCTCGCTTTTCGGCCAGCCCGCCTCCTCCCTCACCTTCTCCCGTAATCTTTCGATCTCGTTGGGGTCCATCGACCCCTGGCCAGTCGTCTGTGCCAGCCCGGGACCCAAAATGACAGCTTCCTTTTGGCGTCCCTTTTGAACCAGGCCCAAAACAGTGCATCGAGAAAAAAAGAAGAAAAAGACACGGCCAACACTCGCCTTCTGTGACATGGATCCACACCCAAGCGGCTTTCATTTTGCCTTGGCTTGAAACCCATCCGAACTCCCACCTCCACACAGGGTTCCTTTTTGGAGCCCCCAAGGCAAACGCTGATGCACATTGTTTGACTTCCAAGGGGCACCCCTAGGTTCAAGTCTTTGGGGTTCGCTCAAAGGAATGAGGGAGGCCTGAAGCCGCGTAGAAAAGACCGCCAAAAACGCAGCAGATTTCAGCTGGGACCAACAAACATCTGCGCTTGGGGGGGGGGGGTCCAATAGACCTCAAATAAAGTGAATGTGTATGCGTGTGTGTGTGTGTGTCTTGATTTTTTTTCGGGGGGTATCTGTTTTTTTGTTGATTCATATGCAGGGAAAACCGAAACGGAGCCATTTCAGTTGGGGTGTTCCCTCGAAACGAGGAAGCAGCTGTCCCGCCTTGTACCGCGCCCAGTCTGGCGAGCTTCCCCGTCGCCGGCGGCTGCGGCTGCGGCTACCTCGGCCAAGCCAAAGTCCGAGACCCGGCGCAAGAACCTGCCCAGAACCTGAACCATTTTGGGTGTGGCAAAAAAAAGGGAAAAAAAAGCTCCGAAAAACCTCAAACAGTTCCAATTCCAGAAACATGAATGAACCAAAAAGCTATCGAAAAGGCTAACAAAGTTCCAATTCAAGAAACATGAATGAACCAAACCTCCAATCAGGTGTCAGAGGTGCCTGACTCGTTTGACAGGCACAGCTATGGCCTGAAGCACAAGTGACCCCACCCCAGCTGTCATAATCTTGTGAAATGAGAGTTGACTCCCAAAAACTGTTGGACCTTCGGACGAGCATTGATCCTCAGATGCCGGCATGTCTATGTCAATGCCAAACAGCAACCTCTTGCCAGGTGTCGCCCACATCAAAAGACCTGTCCCTGCTTGAGGCGCACTCAGGTCTCGGCGGTGTCTGCTTCTACTGCGACTTCTGCTTCTGCTTCTGCTACTTTCTCGATCTTCCTCACGCAGAAAGACTGGGTGCCAGGGCGTGCCATCTTTGGGAGTCAGGCTCTGATTCCTGTCTCCCAAAGCCAAAAAGCCAAAACATTTTCATGGGAGCCGCAAAAACACCACCATAAAAGGGGTGTGTGCCCCACTGTCCTCGGGTAGGGGTGTTGGGCGGGGTAGTGAAAACCACCCGCAAATCAGGCCTTCTTTTCCTTCCTCTTCTTCTTCTCTTCCTGCTTCGTGCCATCACACAGCAGGAAGTGGACAGTCAGTACCCAGTGGTCAAACATACGAGCCACGGTTGGAATATGCCGTTCCTGTATGGAAACATTAGTGAGTCGCTCGAGCTTCGCGTGAAGTTTGCTGAGTCCCCCCATGCCCCTTTCAGACTCAGTACCGAGTGATATGGCCGGAACTCTTATGAGCTTTTGAGGTGAGATGACATGTGATTGAACGGAGGTGTCCTGCTTGTCTTCGTCGTCAGCCTCCTTTTCCTTCTTTTTGTCCTTGTATGAGGTGGGGTGCTGGGTGCATCGGTCTCTAGGCACGACAAGCGACCCCGCACAGCCAAGCCCAGCAAGGAGTCCCGAAGGGAAGCCCGCATGTCTCAAAATAGGGGAATCCAGAACTGCGGTTTTCCTTTCGGCTTCCATTTAAACCAACCTGAAAAGGGCACCCTCCAAAAATCAACACGCCCAAATCAGGCATGCGAAATTCTAAGCAGGTGAGCAAAGCAACGTCATGTGCCGCGGCGTCGTCCACCTCCTTTTCCTCTGGCTCTTTGGCATCCGGCTCCTTCTCATCTCGAAGGACAACCTGTGAATCCGCCGATCCAAGTGGGCTTGTCTCACAATAGAAATCGGAAACTCCAAAATGTGTGGTTTCCTTTGGGTGTCCCTTTAAAAATCACCTCAAAACGGGTACCCTGAAAAAAGGACATACCCATGTAGACATCAAAAGGATCACACAAGATGGCAGGCGCAATTTGTGCAAAACTTGCAAGTGAGCTCTGTGGCCATTCGCAAAGCAATCAGGTTTCAACAACATACTGTGGATGGACGAAATCCTGCACCACTTTGAAACCATGGGAAACCATTGTTTGTTGGTATTTGCAGGGGAGTCATAATTCCAGGGTTTCTTAGGTAGTGCAGGATTTCGTCCATCGACAGTATGTATGGAAGTGCCAAAACTCCGCATGTGCAGAATGGTAATGTTCGCGTCAGCAGCAATCCTTGCACTGGTAGTGCAAGTTCCCTACTGAAGGACACTTACCCAAAGAAGAAGAATCGAAATCCGGCAGAACCAAAAATCACCGGTGTGCAGGGCGAAACGCCTCGATGCGTACCGGGCATCATGGGTGTCCTTTTGCTTGAAGAAACAATCCCTGTACCGGGCGCAGAAGCACTAAAACTGGGGACATCATGCGCATGATGTCCTGTCCTATTGGCTTTCACTTCAACAACTATCCAAAAGGAGGAGGCTCAAAAGTCCCATTTCAGGACTCGTTTGAAGAAAAAGGACTACGAAGAGGTGGGAACTGTTAAAACCTCCTGTTTTGGGGATCCCCCAAACACACACATTCTAAACGAAAGACAGACAGACAGACAAATAAACAAACAAACCAGCAAGCAACAAACAAACAATCCAGCAAGCAAGCAAGCAAACCAACAAACAAACAAACAAACAAACAAACAAACAAGCAAACAAAAACACAGACAAACACACACCCTTTGAAACGACTCAAATAGACCAACAGTGAGATCACTGTTCTTTTCGGGGTCCCACCCAACGTCGTGGCAATTCGGTGAGCCCGTAGGTTCAACCTGGACATGTTGCCCTTCAAGTCTGCCCAGATCCATGTCTACCCGTGAGCATGAAACAAGAAACTGGGTTCCGTTCCGGTTGAGCATAGGAGCAAGTCCGCAATGTCAACCCAAATGGACGGATTTCTGCAATTCTTGACCACGCCTCATGTAAGGATCTCTAAAGACAGAACGCCGCCTCTACAGGCCAACAGCCCTCCCAGCGATGCCGTGGGTGTGAGCTTCAAGTATGAACATCATTTGCATGGGGCTTTTTGTACCCGCCGACCATTTTGGAGTAGGTACTCCAAACCTTCAACCTCATAGCCAGGGTTGAGTCACAACAGGTCCTTTGAGTCGAGACCAACATTGAAGCATGCAGCCACCAGGGTCGGACACCCCCAAGCGACAGAACGAGTGGCGCACTGGTTGAAGGCCTTCTTGAAACGGCAAAACAGCAATGCCAAAATAAAACCAAATGCAAATATTTCGAGGGGATGTGCAGGTATCCATTCGTGCATAGGGGTGCGAACCGGAACGGATTGGCATCGAGCAGGAATCCACTCTCTCTTCGGGGGGACAACCGCTCTTCGCAGAACTCGCAGAAACATGTCCGAATCCTCTCGGGCCCAAGCCGTGCATCATGTAAAAAGATCTCAAGGGACCTATGTGGGTATGATGTTTTATTGAGGAGCCTTTGATGGACATGTAATGGGGACTTCGGTCCACTCATGTTTGAGGGTATTGCCGCTAGTATTGCCTGTTAAGTTTCATAGACTGCCTGTTAAGTCTCATAGACTCACAGCCATTTGAGCAGCGCCCAAAACCCACTAACTACATTGGCTACAAAGGTGTAGAACCACCTACAAGGTGGCCAATGGGATCCAACGGGGGGGTTGGGTGCACATTTGGCGCGTTCTTCGATTTCCAGCCTTCCCCAAATGGGAAGTCACCACGTGGCCATCCTCCAAGACGACGGCGACCTTCCGCTTGTGGTGGCCTGAAGAAGTGAGGGAGCCCGGGGGAAACGCAAAGACGACGGTCTGGCTAAGATTGTTGGAGATGAACTAAAGATAGAACAAAATCAAAGGAGGGTGACAGGGAGAGAGGGAGGGAGGGGGGGAGGGAGGGAGGGAAGAAAGAAAAATAAACAAATAAATGGATAAATGAATGAAATTGAGTGAATGAGTAAAAGGAAATCATAAGTAAATGGAGAAATAAAGATTTTAAAAAAAACTAACAAGCAGGAAAAAAAACTGATCAACAAGCAAGCGAGCAAACAAGCACAGGCAAGCAGGCAAGCAGCCCAGCAAACAAGCAAACAGGCAAACAGAAAAAATACGCAAACAGCAAACAACCAAGCAAGCAAACAGGCAAACAAACAGACCACAACAAGCCAAAGCAAAGAAACAGGACGGGGCAAGACGTGGGCCGAGCTGGAAGAGCAGCTGGAGTCAACGGTTGCCACTTTCCGGATCTGCTTTTCTGGCCATACAACCCCCCGAATCATTGGAAGAGTTCAGGCGATTGGATTCGCCTATGTGAAATCTCCCCCCCCCCCCAGCCTTAGGGACACCTTCCAACTTCCCAAACCACGCCTTGAGGCTTTACGGAAGGAAACCAATTGCACACACACATCCCTTCAGGTTGGGATCTCATGGATATGTGAAAACACAGACTGTAGAGCTATGGACGAAGCTCCTTCTTGGGTCTCCCTTCGGAACCCTTATATTTGACCATAGGTGACTTCCTTGGACATCAGAAATCGGGGATGCATGTCTACCGACCACTTTCAGGTGGGGGGTCAACTCCGTCTCTCTCTAACAAGGGCGCCTATGAGGACCTTGATGTGGCCCGGTAGCCAATTGCCGTCCACCATGATTTCCACTGGGGTTCCAGCCACCTGCGAGCCATGGGACCCTTCTAACCAGCCCAAGACTGGTCCGTCCCAAGCTTTGTTTGCCCGATGCGGGCTGAAGCCCCCCACGTGCTGGGGGCTGCTTGGGGTTTGTGCAGGGTCGGATCCACTTCCACACTTCCAGCACCAGAACGGCTGGATGTCAAGTGGGTCTGGAAAAAGATCTTGACTTACCATCCCTGTTCGGTTTCCGATGAAAAATGATGGGCTCTTTTGCACCTTGAGAAAGGAACAAGAAAGAGAGACCTTTGGCCCCCAGAGACAACCCGCTGCGAGTCCCCTTGTGAATTGATCCAGCCGCAGTCAACCCTCCTTTTGGCAGGTCCAAAAACTGGTCCGCAGCGAAGACGACAAACGACCGTTTTAAGGGGACAAATGGGCTTGTCTCCAAATAGGATTCTCATTTGGTTTCCCTTTAAACTGACCGAAACAAAGGTACCGAGCCTCAAAAAAGACATCCCATTGAATGGTGTTGAAAACCACTCGGGGGACCCCTTAATGGTGCCCTAAAGCGGCTTCGGTGTCCGCAGCCCACTGAAAGGTCGCATTTATTCGCTTCGAACAAGATTGCCTAAAGAAGGTTGCAAAATGCTTGTGCAGGGGAGTAAACCAGGAAAACCCAAGTCAGCCCAACCCCGCTAAGTCCCTTGCTCTTGGCCCCCGTTTGGCTCTGGAGCATTGTGGGAAATAACACGTTCTGTGATACCAAAGTGAGAATCCCACCTCCACGACTACTTTCCTCTCTGAGGACGATGGTCAAGGGACTTACGTAGCTTGAACACCCGAACTCCAAACCTAGAACACGAGCTCATCAATTGAAAATCATTCAAGCAATAAGGATGAAAACTAGGTTACTTCTTTTAGTAGACATGTCAATAAACAACGTGTGATCCTGTCCCCTAGCGCCCATTCTCTCTGCCTTCTTCGGCAGCGCCTTTTGCACCGCAGCCATGCGCTTTCGGAACCTCGCGTTGGCTTCGCGCTGAGGCGTAAGCGGCGCCGGGTGCCTTCTCGAGGGGCAAGGAACACCGGAACCTTGCCCTGAACTTTCGGGTGGAAAAATAACACTTAAGATTACGGTGAAAAGAAAAGAACAAACGCAAGGAACAAACCCTGGTGAAAAAAGAACACACCTGAGAAAGCAACAAACCTGAGAAAGCTCACAAGGGGCTGGCGCCCGCGACCCAGGCTCGGAGAACCTTTCTGAGGGGGGGTGCCCTAATGCTTCTCCATGTCCATGATCTTGTATTTATTTGGCATTTTACCGTTTTTCTTAGTCATTTTTGCGGATTCGTTGTTTTTCGTGCTTGCTTCATTTTAGTTTGGGCCGTTCTTGTGGTTTTTGCCACTCCTTTCGCTTTTCTCCTTTCTCCTTCTTTCGTCTCCGTTTCTGTCCCAACACAACAAAAGGAACACAACAAAAGGCAGAGAACCCCTGGTTGGTGGTCTGGATCGGCGATTGGGAGTGCGGACGAACGGGAAGGCCCACCTCCAAACCACCTATCCAAACCACCGCTTGGAGGGAAGCCGATTGGAAAAAGGCACAAAGGAAAAGTGTCCTCGGCTGGGGACCTGCCCTTCGCCCGGCTGGGGCCCTCCACTGTGACAGCGGCGCAAGCTCCTTCTCCAACTGCTGGCGAACCTGAACCAACACATCCGAACTGCCGGGATCCGAACTGCCGCGGCCCACGGTCGATTGGAACGGGCGAAAATGGCGCAAAAGATCTGCGGATCAAGAGAACCTTGAGACAGCACGAGCCTGGGTTCACGTCGTGCCATGGCTTTTGGTTTGGTCTGCTTCGCATGCAAGACATCTCAGATTTCCCGGGACGGGGGTTGGTACTCAAAACGATCTGTAAACACGTTACAACAGGGGCATTACGCACCTACCTGGGCAAGTTTTTCAATAATGCGGGGTGTTCCATCTGTTGGTAAGGGAGGGTTTCCGAAACCTTTTGTTTGGTTCTTAAACTTTCCCTCTAGATGGTGGTGTGAAGGGAAACAACCGGGTCCCAAAACTACGATTGAGAATCTGCACAAGCGCTCGCTTTAAGGAAAGTGAAAAACCAACTCTGCAGCTTCCTATATTTATTTGGAACAAAACCGAAGGCACGCGAAGTTTGCTTGGTTGATGAACACAATTTGCGCAGAAAGTGTGTATCCACAACCCGTTGAGGGTGTCCAACCCCTCGAATCTGCAATTCCAAAATCTGAAGTAAGCCATCCGCAAGTAAAGGACCTACGTTGTGGTGAGCTCGTTTTCCCCCAGGTGAGCTCTCACAATTTGAGAAAAAGTCGGAGGCCGTTATCACAACTCGCGAAGCCTAAGCCCTGCTTCCTTCCCATCGGGCCTTGACCGGTATTCTGGGCAAGGGAGTGTTGTAGTACCTGTCCTGCGGTTCGCTTGCGCGATGTCACAGCATGCCTACAACTATATTTACGCAACCCCTGTTTCATGGGTATTCCAACCAAAAGACCATAGCAACACGGCTGTCGACTCTCCGAGCTCCCCCCTCCCTTTCTAGAGTGCTGTTCAAGGTGCACCACATTTGTGGCCCACTGGAACAAAGATGAGGTGCCGACTTTCCAGTTCAGCACTGGCCAACTCCACTCCAAATGTTCGTGTAGAGCAAGAAGAGGATCCATGGAAAGGTTCCTGCCCTTCGGTGATCCGAGCCTCCAATGGTCACGCCTTTCGTCTGCGATGGCTTCATTTTGCTAGTCGGCTCTGAATCAGCACAGGGGTGAACCCCAAAAAAATGCTCGGCTTCCCTTCAAACACCAACCAACGAGGGGTCCGCCATGTCGAGAAACTCCAAAGACGTGGGCATCAAACACACCCCGAAGCTGCCTTGATCAACAGGCTTTCCACGTACTCCCGGACCGTCGTCGTGACCTTCGCTTTCCAAGCGAGCCGGGATCTTCTATTTGGCTGTGGCTCAAAAAGCCGGTACCAAAATGGGTTCCAAAACTAAACCCCACCCACGAGCAGCCATCTTCCGGGCAAAAATGAAGCGTGTCGCGCACACCCTGAGGACGACTCTTTTGCTTCAATTTTCAAATTATGTCAACCCCTTACGAAAATTGGGAGGCATTGGAGGGTGCCGGTGCATACTAGTTGCTCGATGCTCGCCGACTCTATCGCTTCCCCACAAACAACCCAAGCAAGGTATCTACACACAAAATCAACACACGCATGTTTCTTGGTGAGAGGCGAGAAGCCGCTCTCAAACATGGACTGGAATTCCCATCAAAGTTGGTCAATAGGAAGGCTTCCAAGGAACTTGCGACAAAGCCATCTGGATCAACGAGGAGTCCCCGTCTTTGAGGGTTGGCTCGTCGCCTGCTTGTCACCATCCAGGTACTTCAGCTCCTGCTCGTCGAACAGATTCTCCTCCAATCTGTCAAAGAGCTTGGCTGGGGGCACCTGCGAGCGGAATCGGATTCAATCGGGTGCGTCTTTGCTGAAGAAACCCCTTTCTCGTGGCTTGACAAGGAAATCAAAGGAAACCAATTTGGGGGTCCCCTAAAAACAGCGACCCAACTCGCCGCAAGCTTTCGTCCGGGCTGATGTTCTGTTCCGTTTTCGAGCCTCTCCCTTTCTTTTTTTCCAGTTTGAGCCCCTGGTTGGCTTTGTATAAGGAGAAACCAATATCAAACTGAACATGGGCTTGTGGCTTGTGCCATATCTTGGCAGCGCGGTTTAAATCTTCGGAGACAAGGACAATACCCATGCTGCAAGATGTCTTTAGTGCTGGGTTCCTTCAAAGGCACCCAAATTCCTGTTGAACCATGGGCTAGGACAAAATGAGGCCACACAAGACAAGTGCGAAAGAGCCGAACGCTGCTTGCGTCCGAAGCACCACAAAGCGGACGTAGAGGTACCCTGCGCAGCGAACCTCACGGGTGACGCAGGAAACCGACTCTCCAAGCCCAGGTCGTCCTCCGAAAATCATGTCCCCCTGCCGTAGCAATGAAAGGCCTTCCAAATGATGCTGCCCTCTGGTATCACAGAAGTAGGGACCATCCCTCGTTCCCGCTGATGCTGATAGTCTTCGTTGCTCAAATGTGGCACACAACACACGCGCTGCCCAAAGTTTGGACTCCGGAAGCCACTTTTCCAATTCAGAAGGCCTTTCCAAATGGTTTGTAAATCACCCACAGGCAGGCAAGAAACACCAAAAAGGCATTGTTCTACCCAAACGAAGCAAACATTCAGTGGAACTTTCGCCGAACGAAAGACGGGACCAAGGTCGCAAAGCATGCTTCAGCAACCAAACCCTGGCTGCACAATCCCTTCAAAGGGAACCAAAAAGAGGCCGCTTGAACAACTGCGGCTCCAACTTGTTGAAACGGAGAAACGCATGGGTTTGGCCCATCCGGGACTGGTCTCATTGCATCCGCAATGAAATGCATCCGATGCCTTTGCGGAGGGGCTGCCGTCTAGAACCGCCAGCAGCTCGTCCAAGTCTTCCGACTGGGGCAGTGTGAAGAGACGATACACCTCGGCAAGAGCTGGGCTCCAGAGATGTCCACCTACATCACCCCCCCACTTGCAGTGAAGCTCACTTTGAATTGGAAAAGCTGATCTTGGAATCGCAGAAAAAATGGGAACTGTAGAGAGCCCTCTCTAATTTTTTGAATTGCTTCGCCAAATTGGAGGCACACTTGCAAAGGACTGGTCTCTAACCAACGCCAACTAGATAATAGCAGGCAAACCCCAGCTTGTGAAGCACTGCTGCTCGGTGTGGGGTAGGCAATAAATCGACAAATGGCACTCCAGGAGCTACTCCACCTCCCTCGCTCTATTTTGACGAGTAGGGACGCCTGGCTGCTGCACCCAGCCTGGCAAATAAAGCAGGAGGGGTGCACATTGTTCCCGGAGTTGTACACGTCCAGCGTGTCAGCCTGAAAAGCCATGCATGCCGGAAGCTATTCTTGGCGGCTACCCTCTCTCTGAAGGTGGGGCAAAGGAAGCAGGCCGCAAAATGTGTGAGCGGGTGCCGACCTCATCCCGCCGCGTTCGCCCTTTTGTAACGGGACCTCTTCGCCCAGATAGAAATCCAATGACTCCACCAACCATGTTTGATCGTTTTCCCCATAAAACTGTTGGCAATCATATTCCCTCCAACCTTGCAAGCAATTCCCACGAAAAAAAGCAAGAAGCCCTCAAAAAAAAAGAAAAGGAAAAAGCCCCGGTCACTGCGAAGTGCGGTGAAGTGAGATTTTTGAGGCCCCGAAGCTTTGAGGTCCAGGCATACTTGGCGATCTCCTCCGTGAGCGGCGCCAGGTCGCTGATCTCCAGCAAACTCTTGAAGTAGCTGGACCCAAAGATCTGGTCCTCCAGTCCCCGGCATGGCTAATAGGTGAGGGGCCTAAAAGGGGGAGAAACCGAATGGAAACCTTTTGGAAGGAAAAACACGGGAGACCAAAGCAAGACCAAAAAACGGGGCCTTGTCATGGTATCTTTTTGGGGCAGAAACCGCAAGCTCCCATCTTGGATCTTGGGGCGCGTCCCAAAAGCCTTTGGAGCCACACCCCTGCTGAGAAAACAAAGCTCTTGACCTGCGACGTCAGAGCTAGCATCCTTTTGTGGGGTTGCCAGTGGTTGTTTCGCAAATCGCCAGCTTGATAAATAATATGGGAATTCTAAAGAGGTAATGCCTCTTGCCAAGGAAACAGTCTCCGTCCTAACGAATGTGTGTTCCCACCAGAATTTTGGTCTAGGGTTGCTTTAGTCTTGGCCTAGGGTTGGTTTAGGGTTTGGTTTAGGGTTGGTTCATGGCTCAGGGTTGGTTTGAGGTCGGCTTAGGGTTGGTTTAGGGTGTTTTAGGATTGGTTAAGGTCTGTTTAGGGTCGGTTGAGGGTTGGCGTTGGGTGTTCCAGGGTTTGGTTTAGGCTTGGCTTAACCCTTCAGAATTGATTTTGGTTCTGATTAAGGTTGGTTTAGGGCTGGTTTGGAGGATTAGTTTAGGGTTGGTTTGGGGTTGTTTTAGGGTCGGTTTTAGGGTGGTGGGGTTGGTTCAAGTTTGGTTTAGAGTAGGTTTAGGGTAGGTTTCTGGTGGCATTAGGCTGGAATCTGGCCTCGGGTTGTTTTAGGTTCGTTTGCGGTTGGTGTGGACCCACTGTAGGTTTGTTTAGGGCCGGTTTAGGATTAGTTTACGGTGGGTGTAGGCAGGTGGGGTTAGGCTTGCTTTAGTGTTGACTTACCGCAGTTTGAGGGTTGGTTTAGGGCTGTTTTAGGGTTGCTTGCTTGCTTGCTTGCTTGCTCGCTTGCTCGCTTGCCTGCCTGCCTGCTTGCTCGCTTGCTTGCCTTTTCCCCTGCTTGCCGGAACGCAGTGGAACATCCGCGTTGAGGTGGAAAAAAAAAACTGTAAACATAGCTCGCAACCATGTTTGATTGTCAACCCAAAGTACATACGAAACCACTAACAAGAAAGGAAGGCGAAGCAAACATACTCTCCCACCGTTGCGCCCTAACAGGGCCGTCTGAACAAGGAATATGATCCAGTTTCTCTCAGGTTCCCATACCGTTTTGTCTCTCAAAATAGGATTCGGCCCCATAAAAAGGTTGGTCTTGATTCCCTCTATTTTCCAACCAAACGGGGATCAAGGCGGTGGGAGAAAGCAACAAAACCAACGATGTCGGGAATCCACTGCGCGCATCACAGAGGGTTGACAAAGCGATCACATTCTCACAGAGAATACCTGCGCAGCAATAAAAGAGGCATCAGTCTCCGCGCCTTGTCATTCTGACTGCTTGGGAATATATCAGTATCCTTTGAGCCCTATTTGCGCTACAGGGGAAGGGGGGGGGGGGGGGGAGATGGTACCGTTCTGGTTCATTGAAAACAAATTTCATGGCTCTACTGTTTGCTGACTGATTAAAAGGCTCGTCTTCTTGCTGCTTTTCACATGTTGGGACTAGCCTCGGTGGATGTGGTCCATTTTCAGTCCTTCCGAAGACAAAATCACACTGTTTGACTCAAATCACAATGGAATTGACCACATCCACCGATCTTGGTCCCGACGCATGGCTAAACCAACCTCCCTGCGGCCTTTTGAGGGGGCCAGCCGGCTGAAACGCCGCCCAAACCCTATTGTTGGCAATTGTTTCGTTGTCCTTGTTCCCCTTCTCTTGATCCGTCAAAAACCCTGCGCTTTTTAAGCTTTTTCCTTCCATGCCAGCGTTCGTTCCATGCTTTTTGCATGCAAAACTCCCGTTTTTTGTTGAGCCATTCATGAGCCTGAAACGCAGGTTTCGGTCCGTTTTTCCGCGTAATTCGTGCAGAAATTTGCAAATATACTGCTTTTGTGGCAGATATCATTTTTAGGCGTCGCAACGGCCGTCCACAGGGATGCATGGCTGCGTGTGTTGCACATGCTGGCACATATGCTAAAGTGCACGCGCTGCATGGTTACTTGCGTACATGCTGGCAGATATGTTAACGGTTACTTGCGTACATGCGCACATAGGTTAACGCGCCCATCCACGCGCTGCACGGCTACTTGCGTACATGCTGGCACATATGTTGACGCGCCCGTCCACGCGCTGCAGGCTTACATGTGCACATGCTGGCACATATGTTAACATTCTAGATGCATGAGCTCACGGCGCACATCTCACGCCCGACTTGTCTGTTGCTGGCGGGGTCTCAGTGCAAGCAGATTTTCTTGGAGCATGTTGCGTTGATGGCTTGCCAACTCTGGATACTTGTATATCAGCTACGCTTGTCGCTTGCTCACTGGTGCGTGCTCGTGACTTGGAAACGTCGGTTTTCTTTCACACGCTCTCTGATCTATGTCGGCGGGGTTTTAGTTCTGGCATGCACTGTTATTTCAAGAAGCCCCCGATATAAACAAATCAGAATACACAGTAAAACACCGGGAATGTTCAACATGTCAATTGCATGTTCGCAAGGGCGGCAAGACAGCCGGCTACCTTGTTTTGCCACCAACCCATGGCGGTCCTTCAGCAAGCTGCTGCACTTGAAAGTCCGCCGAGAGTAGTCCTCCTCCTCCTGATCCTGACGTACAGATTTGAGCATTACTTGCGCCATCAAACAAGAACAAGCTCACCCGAAAAAGCGCTTCATCAAAGGATCTGCCCGCAAAGCGCGACTAATGAGGCATGTTTGTTCGAGTCGCAAGGAGACTGAAACGAGACGACTGCTTTTTCAGGCCCTGAAATGAAGCGAAAGGACGAGAAGCAGGGCCAGAACCGGCTTCGCAAGAGCCAGACTGCATGACACCGACGCCTTCTCAAACTCTTTGTGCTTGGACTTTTCATCCTTCTTGTCACCTGACACAGGAAAGATCGATGGCTCTAGTAAATCACAATCGCATCAAACCAAAGCCAGTGAAATCCATCGATTTTGACCCAAGTTGACCTGAACAACAATGCCACGGACCCACTGCAGCACTCGAGTTCCAGGCCGCCGCCTTCTTTCTCGCCGGCCTGCGCATCGCAGGAAACGAGACGGGCTGAACTGCTCATTGGGTTTTTGTTGGCGGTGAGTTTTACACATGCCCGAAATGCCAACTTGGCAAACGGAAACAAAGACGACACCCTGGCTCTGTAATTTTGAGCCACTTGGTTGTAATAGGGCTTGGGCTCAGTGATGGGTTTATCTGCGGGTTCCACAGGTGCTGCCCATTTAGTATGGCCAAACTAAATCATGTCAGACGTTGGGACTGCCGCGTTCTTAAGGCGCGCGGCCCTGTTCCGTAGCTTTCACCCCGAAATACGAATCAACCTCGAGGCCAGTCGGCGCCTTGTCAGATTCTGCATGGGCCTGGCTTTGACTCGCAAGCCACTTCCTGGCAAATCGGACGGGAAATCGCGCGACCGCGCGCCCCAGTTGCAACTAGTGACGGTCGAAACAGGAAACCCCATTTTGGGGTCATCTGGGTGTGCTTTTTGTTGAGGGAACCCTTCTCGCGGTTGGTGTTCAAAGGGAAACCGGAAGAAAAACCATAATTTTCCCCTATTTGACACACATGCCCATGTTTAGTTGAAATCCCTCCAAACCGCTTCACGCAAGCATCGGCCGAAATTGCCAAAATGCGGACGGCGAATCGCCATCTTTTCTGCTTGCTGCCAAGGGGCTGGCAGAATTTGCACTTGGCGTTGGGCTTCTTTGTGTTGTGAAGATGACATCTGGGAGGCCTCAGCTCTGGTCAGATGTCACAAGATCCAATTAGGCTTGTTTTGTTTTGGTTCCTTGTCTTTCTTTCTTTCCTTTTTTGGGGGAGGGTGGGGTACTCTGATTGACCTTTTGCGCCTTTGTTCAAAGGAAAAGCAAAGGAAACCACCCCTTTTGGGGTTCCTACATGCTGGAAAACGAGGAAGCTTCATGCTGGGTCCTCATCAAATCAGCCGAGAGGGCGAACAGCCGAAAGTTTGACACAAGCCCAGCAACCGCACACACACAATCAGCGTTTGCATCTAATCATCTTGTCTTCGTCTTTCGGGAATCAGTGCTATCTCTGCTGTCAAGGGGGTCTGCATTTTTTTTGAAATTAATCATCCTATTTTGGGCTCCATTTAAATATAAAAAGGTAAACTTATCCGCGATACCCAGTGCATAGCGAAGCACAGAGACGTCTATCCAATTGCATGAAACTGATTCAATCAGGATCGAGTCTTCAAACTATACACAAGGGACATGCCGAAAAAAGAAAAAATGGAATCCTGTCAACGCTTCGTCATGGTCATAAACACAAGCCAGCCGTGTGCGCGGCTTGCGTTGCCATGATCTTACTTGTTATTGCTGTGGCAAAGGAGTGGCTCACGTTTGACAAAAAGCCGCCGTTTTGGGTTGGCTGTTTCAGGGAGACCAAAAACAAACCCAGCATGAATGTCCCCGAAACTTCCCGATGAGACAAACCCATAGCCACTGTCAAGCTGTCAAGGTTGGTCTTGAGGACGTGGAGCCAGATGTGCTCAGTGAGGTGCGGTGGATGAAATTTCGAGCTCTGACGTCCCTCCCCCACTTGTGCGCAATGGTCAGAACTCAAGGACCGACCCTAAGTCCTAGTCAGAATTCCACCATGAACTTGCAGGTGCAAGTGCAACATCCGGATTGGGTTTTGTGTCCCCAGAAATGGGTGGCTCCCATGTATTTCTTGTTACACCAACCAAAAAACCGGGAAACCCGAAAAAACGCGAGCCAGGTGTTTTCGGGTCCCGGGCGTCTTCTCCCGCGGGGGCGTCGGCTCCTTCCTGGGCTCCGCAGCTGGCCCCGGTGCTCCGCCTGGCGGCTTTCGGCTGAGGCCTGCTGGGAACCCCGTTACGGTTGCCTCGCGTATGGATCTTACGCAATCTGCTTGACCTGTATCCTAGGCATCTTAAAAGGCTTAAGGATGTACCAGACCTTCAGTGTCATGAAAAACCTCTTACGCCCTGTTTGAAGGGGAGAGCGGTGGAAGGTAAGACTGGCATTCTCTTGAAAAGGCACCTTGTCCGCGTCTCACTGATTGAGGGGAATCGCATCCCCTTCTACATGGTATCCTTGACTTTCAGGGAGGAAAACAACTATTGATCCTTCAGGTTCATGAATCCAGGGTGAACAACGGGAATCCGGGAAAGGTAATTGCTGACCTATGCAATAAATGTGAAGATTGCTTGATCAAACCTCCATCATTTGATCCATGAATGAAGATCAGGCGTACAGTGCCCTGTACAAAATGATGTGATTCCCCAAGAGGACATGGAAAACTTGGGTGGTGCAAAATGTTGCTGCATTGCAAGAATCACTTGTCTGGGCTTTGCAGGAACTGCTTTCAATGACTTTTCCAGGGCGCTTGTGGGTTTTTGAGGCTCGGTGCCCTTTTTCAGGTTGGTTTCTTTCTCGGGAAACCAACATGAAACCCGCAGCCGTCCCCGGGAAAAAAAAAAAACGCGCGCCTCCGTCCCGGCTTCGACTCCGCTCCCGCGGCTTGGGATCTTGTGGCCTCGCAGCGCCAGCCGGAGTTTGTTCTTCGATCCATCCGTCGAAACGAATTCGGAGCCACCGGCCCTGCCCAGCGTTTTTTCCCCGGCCCCCCTCCCCCCGGACTGCCACACCGCAAAATGCTTCCCGGGTGGGCATATCGCGACGAGGTCGGATATGCAGGCGCCGCAGTCTCCGAGAACTCTGAGACCCCTGCATGGTAGCTTTCGGCGCGGGCAAGTTGACTGGTGGCATGCCTCGACTCCCGCGGCATGACGAAGACGTTTGCGCTTGAGACTCTGCACAACAGAGGGCAAGCAAAACGGCGGGGTTTAAAGCGGGAAGGCTTCGGGTAAAGAATTGGGCCAACCCAACTAAAGAGTCTGTAGTGATCCCAAACTTCACACAACTTGACAACTTGGACAATTCTTAGCCATCAGAAGCCAAGGCGCTAGGTGCGGGGGGCCCAGGTGGTCCGGGCACTCCGGGCACTCCGGGCGGGCCGGGTGGCCCGGGCACCGGGGCGGCAACGCCGCTTTGCATCGGCCCGCCTGGTCCCCCTGCGAGTGGGCGGCACATGGACACGGCCAGAAACCCAGGCAAAGCAACTGGTTGGGGTTGTCAAAAGTAGGCGCCCTTTTTGGGTCTCCCTTATCGGGCGGCACAAGGAGGCGGAACTAGGGTTGAAAAAAGGGGCCATGGTTTTGGCAACCCCCAGGTCAGCATCCCAACCCTGGCAAGAACCAAAAAAGGAGACTCAGATTGAATTCAAATTCGGTGGAAACGTCCTTGGCCTTGCATGCTGGGGTTCATGCCCATGTTCATGCCCATTCCGCCCATCGGGTTCATCATGGCCATCATCGGGTTCATCATGGGCATGCCCATCATGGGCATGCCCATCATCCTTGGTGCGGTTTCTGCGCCATAGTATCCAACTAAAAAAAAACTCGGTATTTGTAGGGTTTGTGATCCCTGGCTAAGATCCGATTGTTTTACGTTTGATTTTTCATGGGATTGGTAGAAGATGTTGTGAAATCAAATGTCATAAATACCTCTTCTTCGAATCTAAAGACAAACTAAACATCTCATCATCAGGTATGGCTAAAAATCGCCGAGCGTCGGCATTCCCATGCCCATGGGCATCCCGGGCATGCCCATCGGCATGTTGGCATTGGCATTGCCAGCATTGCCAGCATTGCCCGCATTGCCTTGCATGCCACTCGAACTTCGGCACACCGACACACCTCTCTCCTGCCCAGTCCCACTTGAGCC